CACCAAAAGTGCTTTTCAGCGTTATGGCGCAACCACTTGAATAGGGCGCCACAAACTCGCTCTCCAAATCTAGAAAATTTTTTGTTGTTGGGGATTTAGAGGAAAATGAGAAAATGAATAACAAAACCATAGTACCTAAAATTTAGTAAAAGCTTAACTAAGCATACAAAAGAGGAACAAATACATTGAAGGAGAAGTAGAAATATAAATAAAATGCACCTTAAAATAAAAAAAAAATATATATATTTTTTTTGCATTTATGAACGAAATGTGTATGTGCCGATGTGTCCCTTTGAATGGGAGAGTGTGTAGGTGTGGATTGCTTTCTAATGTAGGAGCTCCATTTAATACTAACTAAGCACATATTCGTATTTATTTATGTAATTCGTCATGTCGAGATGAGTACATGATGAGGACTAGACGACAAATGTACAGAAAGCCTTAGGGGTGCAGTATGCGGGACGTCCCGAATTGCCCCAGAATGCCTGCAAATAGCCGTTAGTACATGGCGAAGGAGGAAACACTAGATGTAGTTTTGACCACGTACTTTTTAGGTACTTCAGCTAAGAAGACTGAATTTCTGCCAAATTGGGGGAAATTATGTATTTTCAAAGAGACGATTGCGAGGACTAACTAATGGAAACTTCAAGCAATACAAGACACTAAGGGCAGACAGTGTCACCCTCATTCTTAATCTCATACCGATTAGGTTAAATGAGTCCAGCGTTGTATTCATCCCCAAAGTGGGAAACACAATGCATATGAAGCTTAAGGAATTCTTCCTTTTCTTTATTGGCTCTGTAAACGCATAAGTGATTTTGGCTGAGTTTAAAATAGCACTCCAGTCGTTTATTCTCTGTCCCAACTGCCGCAATTGGAAATGCCAAGTGAAGCTAAGTAATTTTTCACCAGATCATTCCAACGCAGAGGAGGCCTTGCACAGAGCACACTTAATTCCAGTCATCGGCATGCGTTCATCTGACCGTATTCTACGTAAGTATTCTTGCAGTAGTTCGCCCTGGTTTTGAAACTTTCGATAAGTCGCCTATCTCCCTGATAAAATTATCGGGCGTTTTTCCTGTCGGCCAGCATTTCAAGCTCTTCGCACTGACCTCTCTTCTAATTGAGGAAAATATTACTATAACGGCCCAACGTAGTCGCGTTGTGCCCGACCACATCGTGGCATCTTTTTTCTCTACACTTTTTTGCACCCCTCATCGTAAAAGGTGGTCTTTCCGGCTCACTGAAATCCGACTACTTCTTGGGCGGCGTTTTGTAATGAGCGGGGAATGTGGTTCCACTGCTTGCATATAAGGGTTCGCTGAAGAATGGTCTCTGAGAGCTGGTGTGAGAGTCGATTGGCGAATAAATTTGCCGTCTGTTGTGGATGCAGCTTATCGACGTTGAGCTTTCCTTGCATTGTTAAGGTATTGGCCCAATGCACGCTTGCTTTGCTTGCTTGGCTTTGAGAACTGTCAAACAATTTTTAAAATCTACTAAAATGTATGAAAGTTGGCCTAGTGGCAGCTTTACTTCACTTGCTTGAAGCGCTTTAAAGTATCGATTAGCCGAAATCTCTATTTGACAGCGCGCTGTAGGCTTTTGACAACTCTTGACATTTCAATTTTTCGCGTCGATTTTGCTTGTGTGCAGTTTTTATCGCGTTCTTCATCAATTTTAGGTAAAATAATTTATATTAAACAATTATTTGTTGCTAACAACATTATTTTTTCAGATACCTTGCTTTTTATCGTTCCGGCCACCAGATTCTTTGGTTTTCGAGAAGTTGCATTTGGCTGTGCCACTTCCACCCGTGTTTATAAGGCGTAATATTCA